ATCTACAGGAGACTGTCGTGGATGTTTTTGCAGTCCTGCAGAACGGTAAGACACAGCATGAAAGGACTGCAAGAGGGAAACACTGCGGCTAACGCAGCAGACACATTCCTCACATGATCCAAATAATGCTCCAGCTTTTATTTTGTCTTGGGTGACAGGGCCTCCAGGTAGCGTCTGTTGCTAATCCCCTTGACATGAAAGCAGTCACACAAGCACAGAAACCACAAAGTTGAAGAGCTCCATTTGAAGCTGCCTTTGGCCTCCTCACAGGGTTTTAATCTCACTGATGAGACGTGTGTGTGTGTGTGTGTGTGTGTGTTTTGAACAGATATTGACGAGTGCACCCAGAGCATCGGGAACCTCTGCGCCTTCAAGTGCGTTAACGTCGCGGGCAGCTACCAGTGCGCCTGTCCTCCTCACGGATACGTCATGTCGGCCAACGGACACACCTGCAGAGGTGAGGCCTCGGTCGCAACGTCTTCAGAAATGAATTTGCATTTACGTTGTTGTTTTTTTGGAGTTTTGTCAAATGCATTAACGCTCTTATTCCCAAACTGGAAACCGTTTGCGTCCAGCATTAAAAACCAGGTAGTGAATAGTTGGTGCAGCTCACTGGTGCGTTCATTTATGACGTCAGCTACTCTGCACGAAGCAAATACTCATTAAATTTATGTCTTCCAACTTTCCAAAAACTTGTTAAAAATGCATTTACTGGTACAACCTGTTCAAAAGAATAAAGACTAATTAGAGAAAACTGAACCACATGTCCTTAAAATCTGCATTTGGAACATTTCCACACAATATTTACAGCTTTTATTTGGCAGACTGTGAAATTGATGAAGCACAAATACGTTTTAATGAATTTCTTTTTTTTTTGGTTGCAATTCCGTCGATTTGGAAATTTGTACATTCTTCCTCAGAAACAAGCTTCCTGCAATTCGACCACACGATCCCGACTGAAAATCCGCTCACTAGCATCTGTCAGAGTTTTCAGGCCTCATTAACAGATAGTCTTCTGCAAAGTTGTCAAGAAAATGGATCCGTGGACGTGAACACTCTGTAGCTCCGTGTTACTTTGCTCTGAAGGATTAAATTACAGTTCAGCATGAAGGAAATTTTTCCTCCTGATGTGCTTCCACCAGGTCAAGGAGGTGATTCGCTTAGTTTAGAATGTTGAACTAGTCAGACTTTGTCCAGAGTTTTAAAAAAGTTATTAAAAAATGTAGTGTTGGATGTCTTATATTGAAATATGTATATTTATTTAAGGCAAATTACATGTTGTAGCTACAGTATATCTTGGCCAGGTACAGTGTTTTCTAGGCGTCACCTAAAGACCTTTGTTAAGATGAGTGCTACAGCATTCAAATACTGTTTCTATGTGCATTCCTATTCAAATGTCAGCACGTTTATTTGCATAGGGCCGAGCGTGTAGCTAACAGATACAGTAGGATGCAATGCCTGTCCCAATAGACCTTTTAAATACTTTAGAGACAGTACAAAATTCAATCTCAGCAAAATATATATACATTAAGACACAAAAACCAACAAGGAACGTGAGGATTTACGAGGGTCCACATGGTCTGACTCACCGAATGCAGCCTGCTGGTTTAAGCCACTGCTCACTTCAGTCGCCTTTGTCCTTAATTTACTGTTTTCAACAACCAAGAATGACAGCGTGGTGCAGCCAGACCATTAGGTTCTACAAAATGCTTTAACAAAGTGAGACTCAAGTCAACATAACTTAAACTTCAACAACAATCATGAGCATTCTCAGAACACATAGATGCTGATCCAGAGCACATGTATGAAATTAGGTCCTTCAAGCACATATAAAGTGGACTAGAATGTATATAAAAAAGAAAGATGGAAAGTATATGATTGCTACGACTATGTGCCCGTGGTGTTCAGGCAACTGTCTATGTGCTTGAATGCAAAGGAGTATAATTGAATTTCCCTTCTGGGATAAATAAAGTATTTTTCATTTTTTCATTCATAATCAAGGTTTATGGGAAAATGTTTGTTAGGAAGCAGGCTTTTGTTGCAGTACCAGGCATGGCCACTTGGAGCCTCCAAACTCCAATCAGTTTTTCCCGTCTCACATTTTTAGTCGCTGTGGGCTCATTTTTCACTGTAAGATTAAATAGCAACAGAACAACACAACCATTGCTAGAAGCAGAGAGAATTTAAAAATGTCTCCTGGTAGTATAACACAATTATGATGCCATAAATCATGAAAAGGATGCATGTCCAATAAAGTGATTATAATAAAATATCAGCATTTTAAGCTTACTTACATGTTTTTTCCTGACATAACACCATGTTACAGATGAGCTCTTCTATTGTTGGAGTGACAGAAAGTTAGAAATCAGATGATTCTGTCTGTGTTAGCAATTTGTGGCTCTGATACATGGTGTCAGTTTGGCAATTTTTAAATTCAACATGTCATTTTAGAGGTTTGCTAAGCTATTCTAATCGACGGCTGGCTTTGGCTTCACATGTTGTCATCTAATGCTCAGAAAGAGAAAGACTAAGTATTTCCAAAAATGTAGAAATGAAGAGTTTATTTGCTAAAACAGATAACTCAAGTTTTGTAGATTTTCAGAAAACTTATTTTGTTGTTGTTTGCTTGAGACAATATCAATCAAACTGTAGTTGAATGGATTTGAATCAACAGAAATGACAAAAATAGAGATAACTTAAGTTTGATTGATATTGTCTCAGGTAGACAATGGAAAAGTGGGTTTTCTGAAGGTTTGTGAAGTTGTCTGTTTTTGCAAATAAACTCTTCATATATTCCTTTAACTTTATTTTTAACCCAATATGGAAACAAAAATATGGATGTACTCCATCTACTTGTCTTCGTCTGTTGATGAAATACTGTATGTTATAATACTCAAAAATAGCCAGTAAGTTGGGCCTGTTCTGTCAAATTGCTGTCAAAACACTGTGAGTTTGGGTATTCATTGTCTTTACTGTCTCTTTTTCCAGATGTTGACGAGTGCACAACTGGCGCTCACAACTGCTCTTTCGGACAGAACTGCTTTAACCTGCAGGGAAGCTTCAGGTGTCTCTCCTTCGACTGTCCTCCCAACTACAAGAAGGTGTCCGACATGTGAGTCGCATTTATCTCTCAGCAGCTGTCAAATCTTGAAATGTTTTTGCTCCGACGGTGCCTTTTTCTGACCTGACCGGTATTTTATCTACATTAAAGCACGATAAAGTCAAGCCTTGGTAGAGTATCCGAGCGTGTATTTTCTCTTAGGTCCAATAAAATCTGTCCTAACAGGTATAATGCATCATTTTTTTGCAGCTCCCAGGCATCCTGCCCCGTTAAGCACCGACTTCTATCGATGTATATGGGTTTTTCCTATAGGAGTCTGTCCAGCTCCTGTCATGCTGTGAAATACTGTACATCCGTGTCCTTCCAGTGCAGCGTCCTGCACAGAAGGGCCTCGTTAGCTGTGTCGGCTGCAGAGGCTGGCTGGTAACTGAACATAACTCCCATCGAGCTGCACGCTGAAGTCAGATGGCTTTGATCAGCTCGGTGCTTCCCGGCGCCGTCTCTGCAGCTCGCTCTGCTCAACGCTCCACTGGACAGAAACGGCACACACACACACACTCTAACACACCCGCCGGTCGGCCCACGAGAGGCATCTTATCAATGTTATCTAGAGACACCTTATTAACCTCAGTGTGACGTGGTTTGGCTTGCCACAAGAGACATCTTTCATTCATGAGTAGACTTGGCAGGCGGATGAGATTAAAATGTCTCCCGGATTAAAGGTTCCAACACGCTCTTGTCCTGAAATGAATTGTTCAAATTTTCCGGTGCACTAAATCAAGGTTCGCTCCGGGCTGTAAATTGTGATGTGTGATGGATAAGCTGTCGCGGAGCATCAGAATGCCGACCGGACGAACCGCGCGGCCTCGGGAGGATGCTGCTTTCTCTGTTGTATTGTTGTGCAATTTGGTGCTCATTTCGGGGTTTTTTTCCTGAATCCTTGCTGGATTGTAGCTTTGCTTTAACTACATTTCTCAGCAGCAGTCCAGTCGCGTGAGGAAATCATGTGCTTTTCCAGCAGCAGGACCAAACTGTGCAGTTATTTTTTGCGTCTATACCAGCAAACCTATCCCCAGCTTTTCTTGTAGTATGATGCAGGGTGTGTACCAGTAAGAAGACCACTGAGGAGCCAATGACTGATTTAGCTACTAATAGGCTACAGGTGGTCAATAAAAGACCAGCAGAGAAAACTGTAAAGCGGATCTCTTCCTTATCGCTCTATCAAGTCAGACACTCACCCATTTATTCAGCAAGCAGAGTCATTTACGGGCCGATTGGATATGTCACTGACCTGGGTGGTCACTAGCATCTCTAGGCTGCCAACTAGCCTTCATTGCTAACCAATCACATTTAATATGGGCGGTTGTGGCTCAGGTGGTAGGGCAAGTCAATGATCGGAAGGTCAGCGAGTCAGTCAATGGTCTGAAAGTCGGCGGTTCGGTTAGTGATTGGAAGGTCAGTGGTTCGATGCCGCCCTGTAACCTGTGTCATGGTCATTGTGTCCTTAGGCAAGACATGTCACCCACCTTGCCTGGTGTGAATGAATGGATTGTTTGAGGTGGTGGTTGAAGGCGCTGTAGGCACAGAATGGCAGCCACGCCTCTGTCGGTCTGCCCCGGGGCAGCCGCTACTGGAATGAATGTGTGTGAATGTAAAGCAACTTTGCGTGTCTAGAAAAGCGCTATATAAATCTGATCAATTATTATTATTATAAACACCAATCAGCTACAATATTAAAAGTACCTGCATGATACTGTGTAGCCCACCAAACAGCTCAGATCTGTTGGAGCCTGGATATGGCATCTCCATGGGTGTCCTGTGGTGTCTAGCACCACAGCGCTCTCTGGGTTGCGGGGTAGGGCCTTTATATCAGTGCACCATGGGTGCTTGATAGGATTTGGATCTTTGGAGTTTGGAGGCCAAGTCAAATCCTTGAGCTCTTGGTCATGTTCCTCGAGTTGTTCCAGAGCAGTTAGTGGAGGCTGCTGGCATCAGGGAGTCCAATTACCATAGGGAGTGTAAGTGGTCTGCAACAATGCTGAGGTATCTGGCACATGTCAAACTAAGAGGACAGGACCCAAGCAGATTACTGGACTTTAACAAGATGATGTCACTCAACTCACCTGTCAGTGGGCTAATGTTGTGATTGATCAGTGTGCAGGTGAGGTGTATTGAATCACATGCATGGATTCATTTATTGGGCAAAAGACGAGGTGCAGACAGTCCATGACAGGGCCAACACAACGAGACAAACGATGATGATGCACACTTATACCTACAACAACATAGAACCACCAGTTTAACCACCACACATGTCTTTGGACTGCGACAGGAAGCTGGAACATACAGACAAAGGGAGAACATACATGACTGACAGCCAGATGTTTGGTCTTTTAAAGAAATGGGATCACGAAATAAAGAGTGCAAGTGTTTAATCCATTTTTTTCCTTGATGTGGAACAGCTCCACTGTACGAAACTACTTACATTCTAATTTCCAATGAGGCGGAAATTGTCGTTAGTTTCAGCTCAGGCTCCCTCTGGCAGCAGGTTATTGCACTGACAATATGCCATCAAGTGAAATGACACTTTTTCCTGTACAAGTAAAAAAAAGTCTAATAGTCGCTGTTCAGAGGCCGTTCTTATGCCGTGTTCACATTTAACAGAAAAATGAGCTTCCGTACTTCATGTGACCTTTGCTGAGTGTATTATTAAGAGCCGTTTATGAACTTCAGGACTGATTTTGACTGTTTTACAAAAGCCTGCAGCGAAAATGTGATCATAGATGGAAACATATTTTTAGAACAAACCCAGCCAGTGAATCCTAAAGCTTTTGTTATGCTAATGTTTTTTTGTTTCCAGCCTCAGTTCTTAATTACTTATTGTGCAACACACTCAGTTACACACCTTGTTAATTTATCCTTTATCCCAGTGTCTCAACAACATGGAGCTGAACTTTGTGTTGTCTTATGTCTAACTACATACAACAAAAATACATCCCTTTGTGAATGCATGAGTTCAATTAAGACATAGCAAAAAAAAAAAGATATGTAGGATGTAAGAGTCATCCCGTCTTCCTCTGTTTGTCCTCCCTGGTTGGTTTCCAGACGCTGCGAGCGGATCAGTTGCCCCCCAAACTCCCTGGACTGTCAGAACTCCCCCCAGCGGATCACCTACTACCAGCTCAGCTTCCAGACCAACATCGTCATCCCGGCCCAGATCTTCCGAATCGGACCGTCCCCGGCCTACTCCGGCGACCACATCGTCATCAGCGTCACCAAGGGTAACGAGGAGGGCTACTTCAGCACCCGTAAGCTCAACAGCTTCACCGGCGCCGTCTACCTGCAGAGACAAGTCCGCCAGCCCAAAGACTTCCAGATAGACGTGGAGATGAAGCTGCTGAGGCAGGGCGCGTTCACCTCGTTCCTGGCCAGGATCTACGTCTTCATCACCTCCGGCGCCATGTAACGGACACATAGAGACAGAGACTAGACATTTCATATGGTGCTAAAAGTTCATGTGTGCACACTTTTGTATTGCCTCTCCGTTTCCAAGCATGATTCAAGAATCTTGTAGAATGTTGCCAAAGATTTAACTGTTCTTTTTTTTTGTTGTTTATTTTGTCTTTGGTAGGTTTTCTGCAGAGTTTCAATGACAATCATATTTACTGAAAAAACCTGTATTTGTATGTACCAAGATATTTTTCAGCTTGTTAATGTAATTTAGCTTTTATGCCCCGGTGTTGTCTTTAAACACAAGTCTGGTTTGTGCTCTTCGAAACTCCTCTTTCTTTGATCCAACTACAAAAAAAACAATCATTTTCATTGCATTTAGTACTAAAGAAGCAAATAAAACTTTGCAGCACTGGAAGTTAACTTTTCATTTGTCAGTTATGAGGCCCAAAACTGACAAAATGTAGTAAAAGCTTTTATATCATAAATTATATTATTAGCTAAACAATTCAAATGATAAAAACGAATTTAAATATTTTAATTTCCAATCAGTTAGTTAGAAAAAAAGCATATTTAATTTTTTTCCCTCCACTACAAATAAGCTGATAATTCCATTTGTAGTCATTTACTTTGCTTTTACAGTTTTAAAACATCTTTTATTTTAGTCTGCTTTGTGTTGCTCTTCACACAGTTTAACTCATTATTGTATTCATTGCATTTATTCATTTCCATGCGTTTATGTGATAATGAGATGGGTGCGTTTAGGGTCAAATGTATAGAATTTCTTCCCCTTTTTTTAACGTTTAATAAATTCTTTTTAAATTTAATACAAAACAATGTATTTTATTTTCCCAACTGTTTGGAGGTGAAAGGATAATTCCAGTTTATTTGAAGTGAACAGACCAAACTAATCACCATTCATCCATGCACAACAGTTTGTCTATTAGGGGAACCATCCAAGGCAAATATAAGTCTGAACATTTGTTTTCACTGTTCCTTAGGTGATGCAACCAACTGCATCATTTGTTGATGTATTCACGTCTGTTTTTTTATTTATTTTTTGTCAGTTTTGGACCTCCAAATCCCCACCAGATTTCCGCACGTAGTCACCAAAAACCAGCAGACGATCCTTCCTATAGCGTATTGTGTTCAGCCTTTGGTGTATATTATTCTTTTTTTCAGAAGATGTGATCTGATGAACAGAAGTGTTGAAAATTCAGTGTTCAACAGTCAGAAATGGTGAATTCCAGCACTGAGACTGTTATTGTAGAGGACGTTACTGTTGATTGTTTGTTATACACTTCTCTTTTATTACATTACTTTCTATGTAACTGTTTTGTAATTATCTCAGGGTAAAAAAAAAAAAAAAAAAAAAGAAATCACAGTAGACAATTTCCTGTGTGCAGGAATGAATCGGTCTGCTGCCGTAACTGCAGACTGGCCTCCCGGAGCATGTACAGTCTTGTATCTACAAACCAATAAATGAGGATCAAACTGTTGTCGTTTGCTCAATAAAAGTGTCAGTTTTTCCACATCGACGGCACACATGCTGCACGCTGAGTCCATGGAATCATTTCTAGTTTTCGCTGAGCCAACATCCCCATCTGCTGGGGAGACCAGTGCCTCACCACTCGAATAACGTCCATCTGATTTCCTTCAAGTGTAGCCTTTTTGATTTCAGACACCATGTAGAAAATAAAGTGCTTTACGCTATCCCATCCATCCATTATCTATACACCGCTTAATCCTCACTAGGGTCGTGGGGGGGCTGGAGCCTATCCCAGCTGACTCAGGGTGAAGGCAGGGGACACCCTGGACAGGTCACCAGTCTATCACAGGGCTACACTTAGAGACAGACAACCAAGCACACTCACATTCACACCTACAGACAATTTAGAATCACCAATTAACCTCAACATGTTTTTGGACTGTGGGAGGAAGCTGGAGAACCCAGTGAGAACCCACGCTGCACGGGGAGAACATGGAGACTCCACGCAGAAAGATTCCGGTGCCCCCACCAGGACACGAACCGGCGACCTTCGTGCAGTGCTAACCAACTGCACCACCTTGCAGCCCTGCTTTACACTAACTCTGAGGAAATCTTATTTCATCTGTTTTCACCACCCAGTCCTGTGCGTTACACCCTGTCGCATTCCCCACCCGGAAAGTGTGTGTGTGCTACCTCAGCCTATTAATACATCCCAATAGATGGGCGTTCAGCTGGAAACTACAGTGGGTGGGGTCTGCCGCAGGTCACCGTATAAATAAGCAGCACAGTTTGACTGGAGGGTTTTACAAGATAACAGATATTTTTGAAGCTGAGGCTACTGGGTGATAAATGAACCAACTTGCACCGTCAGAGCGGCGTCACGGTGCTTCTTAGCGTTGATTCTTCTGGAGGGAAGGACATCATTCTTTAAAGATGTATTCCCTCATTTGGTGTTTTGATGGTGGCGGTGATAGATGGTGACTGTGAAGGCCGCGGTGTGGGATTTACGTCACTCCCAAGATCCCTCAGACCAGTCAGAGAGAACATGTGGCCTCTGTGGTAGATGTTGTGTACCGCCATGTGTTAGGTGTTGCATTTAATTAGTCAGTTATCTGTAAGTTTTCAGCATTAGGTTTTCTCAGGTCTGTTCTTGTGTATCAAACCTGCAGTTTTGTCACCGAACATTGTTCTGAATTATTTCATTTTCTATTTACTGTGCGTTTGCCGTTGTTTTATATATGTGTGTGTGCAGTGCTTAACAAATCAGACAGGTGATCTAAAAAAATTTGCTTAGCACTCTATAAGTATACAGGGCAGTCCAAACAGGCCAATCAGGAAACATCTATTATCCAATTAGATCCCACCTCCTCAGTGAACCAATAAAAAGGCTGCTCTGGAGGCGTGGCCCCTCCTTCACCTTCAGAACAAGATGGCTACTGTGAGGAAGAAACTCTTGACAGGTGATGGCTTGTGCAACCTTAATGACTGTTTAACAGGCTCCTCGCTTTAATCAGGCAAGTAAACTTTAAAAAGTACAATTTTGTCTGTAAAAATAAACAGAAAAACAAAGTCATGTCTACATCTCTACATAAAAGGTCTGCAAGTGGTCAAGCAGACAGATTGCATGTCTAGTTTGTTAGCTGCTAAATGCTCCTCTACGTTAACTAACCAGTCACTTGTGTTTTTTAGTTGTTTGTATTTTGGTCCTGAGCAGGTAGCATACAGTAAGAGGCTGGAGGCTGGTTCTGGAGACAGATTGCTGATGTTTAGGTAGCTTGCATGTGTCAGAGTTACTCAACCTCTAACTCCCATTACTCTCTTTTCACCCTGTCATTGTGCACACAGGAATAGTGCCGTGTGTGTGTCAGTCTAAGCCACATTGTTTGCCAAGACAGTGTAAAAGAACTGGACAGCCAGCAAACCATGATGAGATTCACTGTATTTGACAAAGTGCAATGACTTAAAATCGCATACTCTACCTTTTTAATCTAAAAAGTATTAATTCGTGTAGTTTGAAAAGATACTTCCGCTTTATGTCAGTCTGGTGTGTTTCCCATTAATGCTAAGTTTATGTCCGGTGGTTCAGAGAGTCGAGGAAACAAAGAGTTGCACAAAACTGTGTATGTTGGGGTGAAAACTAACTCCTAACCTAACCTAACTCCCTGCACCTCTCCAAAAAGCAAAAAACAAACTGATTTTTACATGAAACATTTTGTGCAGTGTTTTAGATCTGACCAAATGTGAACCTCTACAGTCATTTTACAAAATGCATTCGCAATTTCAACCTGGTGGTAATTTCCAACTAAACACCTTCCATATTCACCTTTGAGATCGTCACCTGTTTGTTTACATGTATAGTGCAATAACAGCTATACTCCTTAAACTGCAATTAACCTTTAAATCTTTGTTGTACCCTCAAAAAGCAATCATTTTCCACCTGTTCTGTTTTTACCCGTTTCTGAAACCCAAGACTCTGGAACTTTCATCCAGCAGCCCACACACACACACACACACACACACACCTCAGAACAATAACCTTCGTGCACAGATTTACGATGTGGTTTTCTGTTTCAGTTTTAAAAACACAGCGCTGAATTAGAGTCGTATTATCAGCACCTCATCATTAAAATATGCGCAGCTCCTTTTGTAACTGCGCTCTTTAGTTTCCATCTTTGGTGCTCGGCTCTGTGGGTTTTTTTGCGCTGAGACTCGTCTGTCGGTCGGCACGTCCACCGCTGCCATCAGTCAGTCTCTATTGTTGATGTCCAGTTTTTCTGTTTAATCGCAAACCATAAATATCAAAAACACACCACCTCTTGTGAACCTAAGCAGAGAAGTCCTGCCACATTCCCACACATTTATAACAAAATAATGAATTCATCCAAACACAAAAACAAACATTAGGGAGTGAAGTATTTCAGTGATGGCACAAGACTTAGTAGTGTGAGTGGATGATACAGTTTGTTCAGGAAACTGCTCAGCCGGTGCAGCGGTGACACTGGTCTGCACTGGGTGGCTTCTTTCCTCTCTGCTGAAGCCCAAACACATCCGGCTATTGAGGTGGCGTCCCACACATGAGGGCGTGTGATCTCTGATTATCTGTCTGAGCTTCAAACGGTTATCAAGGCTACTAAATATATGTGGCGAGGAACCACCTTGTTATTGTACCATGAGAACAACCAGACATCCAGTAACTTTATTAAACTAACACCCAGTTGTTGACTGGTTCCCGTCAGCGTGTCTAGTTCTACTGCACTGATGTCAGCGGTCAGTGTGAACACCTGGACGAAGAGAAAGAAGAAGACAGAAATGTGCACTTCTAAGACCATCCCTTCTCAATATGTTTCTTACGATGTCTGGACACTTCAAGACCTCTAAAGGTTTTTCAGTGGCCACTGCACCATCTGTTGTACCTAATTTAGCAACAGTATACGTCCTGTTTACCCACCTGCTTGTTGTCTCCTTCATGAATAAATAAAAAGACAACATCCTTTATGTAATGCAAGGTGCAAGTTGGAGCCACCGTGGATGAGACTTATGCCAGAATATACTCAGGTCATGGTTTGTGCCTCCTCAGACCCTCATCTTGCCTCTTTTTGAGACAAACTGATAATGTGGTCCCTGTCAAAGAGAGTAAGGTTTCCCCTTTGACCAACGCATTAGATTCTTTTCACAGCCTGTCTTAGGTCAGACTGTTGTACTTGGGGGTCATTTTTGTTGCAACAGCAGCATATTGAGGAGATGTTCTTAGCAGCATTGTAGCTCAGTCTCTGTGTGAATGGGGCTAATGACTATGAGAACCACCTGTTCACTTACTGTCTCATATATCTCAGACGTGGACGATCGACATGGTACCAGATGTGAAACATGGCTCATCCATGTTTCTGCTGATTCAACTGACAGAAGTTAATGATGAGAAATAATAATGACCGTCTGTCGTCTTGTGTTGCGTTTTCCTCATAATTGCTTGGGATTAAAGCTGTTAGAATCAACAAATAGAAAAACTCTGATGTCAACCACATTGTCTGGTTGGACGGTCTGATGCTGCGTCCATGGAGACCAGCCGTGTTTAGCATCTGATTGACATGTTGGTAACAGTCTGGTCTCGGTGGTGATTCTTGGATTCTTCATGGCCTCTCACGCTGCCATTGTTGTGTTCACTTTTCTTATCGCTTCATCTGACATTTTTCACAGTTGGGAACTCCTTGTACTTTGCACTGCGGCCGCTGGCACTTGAAAACATTTGTCTATGGCTTTATCACCTTTCCCCATCTTGTGAGCAGCTACAACACACAACTCCTTCTCAGTGATAGACCCTAGTGGCAAACTTGCAAAGCTCTTAGCCATGATTTGTACTTGTATAGTAAAGTACATCAATTTAAAGGGCTGTGGATGTTTGTAGACTTAAAAGTAAAAAGAAATTTTACCAAAACATCCCTGACATGTTGTCCTATCTTTCATCACCTTGTACCTGCCAGAGGAAACGTTACGGTCAAAAAATAATTGAGCATAAATCAAAACTTGACATGATTTTGGGCTTAACAGTAAATGCAGACAGAAATCTAATGCCCAATATATACATGCTAACACCTATTACTGTACTTAGAACCAACAAAAGCTAAATTAATGCTTTTTCTTTAGTCTGTCGCTCACACTTTTCAATGCAGGACTTTTATTCTGGAGCAATCTCCAATAAAATGTTCTTTTTTTTTCATTTCCTCCTGTTAGTGTTCAGTAATAAATATTAACTTCCATAATTCCCCATTAAACTCAATAGGTGTTATAGGTTATCCCTTTTCACTGAGCTGCCAGCTATTAAAACAAGTTAATTTGGCTGATTTCAGCAGAGGGCAGAACTCTCATTAATGCATGTGCGAAAGACAAATTTTGATTGAAAGAATGTGACAGCCTACGAGAATAAATTCCGCAGCATAAGAGAGCGCTTGAAGAACTGTGGCAGCCTCATTACAAAACTATTAAGGCTGCCTTCAGAGAGCCACATCAGTAAAAGTCTAATAAAATC